CATGCCGAATCTGGAACAAGGTCAGTTCAGGTCTCCGCAAAGCCTTCAGTCACAGAAACATCAGGTCTGTGATGCATCAAGACATCACTCCAGGAAACATGCAAAAGCGCTTTGTACCACTCTATAACAGCAACAAAGGCACTATCAGGCCATATTCCGCTAGGAACTATGTTGCACGCATGCCGAATCTGGAACAAGATCAGTCCAGGTCTCCAAAAAGCCTTCAGTCACAGAACCATCAGGTCTGTGATGCATCAAGACATCACTCCAGGAAACATGCAAAAGCGCTTTGTGCCACTCTACAACAGCAACAATGGCACTGTCAGGCCATATTGCGGTATACACTATGTTGCACGCATGCCGAATCTGGAACAAGGTCAGTTCAGGTCTCCGCAAAGCCTTCAGTCACAGAAACATCAGGTCTGTGATGCATCAAGACATCACTCCAGGAAACATGCAAAAGCGCTTTGTACCACTCTATAACAGCAACAAAGACACTATCAGGCCATATTGCGCTAGAAACTATGTTGCACGCATGCCGAATCTGGAACAAGGTCAGTTCAGGTCTCCAAAAAGCCTTCAGTCACAGAACCATCAGGTCTGTGATGCATCAAGACATCACTCCAGGAAACATGCAAAAGCGCTTTGTACCACTCTATAACAGCAACAAAGACACTATCAGGCCATATTGCGCTAGAAACTATGTTGCACGCATGCCGAATCTGGAACAAGATCAGTCCAGGTCTCCAAAGAGCCTTCAGTCACAGAACCATCAGGTCTGTGTTGCATCAAAACATCACTCCTGAAATCATACAAAAGTCTTTTGTACCTCCCGATACCAGCAACAAAGTCACTATCAGGCCACATTGCGGTAAAAGCTATGTTGCACGCATGCCGAATCTGGAACAAAAAGATACAAAAAGCCTTCAGTCACAGAAACATCAGGTCTGTGATGCATCAAGACATCACTCCAGGAAACATGCAAAAGCGCTTTGTACCACTCTATAACAGCAACAAAGGCACTATCAGGCCATATTCCGCTAGAAACTATGTTGCACGCATGCCGAATCTGGAACGAGGTCAGTTCAGGTCTCCAAAAAGCCTTCAGTAACAGAACCATCAGGTCTGTGATGCATCAAGACATCACTCCTCAAATCATGCAAAAGCGCTTTGTACCACTATATATCAGCAACAAAGGCACTATCAGGCCATATTGCGCTAGAAACTATGTTGCACGCATGCCGAATCTGGAACAAGGTCAGTTCAGGTCTCCAAAAAGCCTTCAGTCACAGAATCATCAGGTCTGTGATGCATCAAGACGTCACTCCAGGAAACATGCAAAAGCGCTTTGTGCCACTGTATAACAGCAACTGCGGCTTTAACTATGTTGCACGCATGCCGAATCTGGAACAAGGTCAGTTCAGGTCTCCAAAAAGCCTTCAGTCACAGAACCATCAGGTCTGTGATGCATCAAGACATCACTCCAGGAAACACGCAGAAGCGCTTTGTACCACCCTGTAACATCTGGAACAAGGTCAGTTCAGGTCTCCAAAAAGCCTTCAGTCACAGAACCATCAGGTCTGTGATGCATCAAGACATCACTCCTCAAATTATGCCAAAGATCTTTGTACCTCCCTATATCAACAACAAAGTCACTATCAGGCCATGTTGTGCTAGAAACTATGTTGCACGCATGCCGAATCTGGAACAAGGTCAGTTCAGGTCTCCAAAAAGCCTTCAGTCACAGAACCATCAGGTCTGTGATGCATCAAGACATCACTCCTCAAACCATGCAAAAGCGCTTTGTACCACTATATAACAGCAACAAAGGCACTATCAGGCCATATTGCGGTATAAACTATGTTGCACGCATGCCGAATCTGGAACGAGGTCAGTTCAGGTCTCCAAAAAGCCTTCAGTCACAGAACCATCAGGTCTGTGATGCATCAAGACATCACTCCTCAAATCATGCAACATATCTTTGTACCTCCCTATATCAGCAACAAAGGCACTATCAAGCCATATTGCGGTATAAACTATGTTGCACGCATGCCGAATCTGGAACAAGGTCAGTTCAGGTCTCCAAAAAGCCTTCAGTCACAGAACCATCAGGTCTGTGATGCATCAAGACGTCACTCCAGGAAACATGCAAAAGCGCTTTGTACCAGCAACAAAGGCACTATCAGGCCATATTGCGGTATAAACTATGTTGCACGCATGCCGAATCTGGAACAAGGTCAGTTCAGGTCTCCAAAAAGCCTTCAGTAACAGAACCATCAGGTCTGTGATGCATCAAGACATCACTCCTCAAATCATGCAAAACATCTTTGTACCACCATATATCAGCAACAAAGGCACTATCAGGCCATATTGCGGTATAAACTATGTTGCACGCATGCCGAATCTGGAACAAGGTCAGTTCAGGTCTCCAAGAACCCTTCAGTCACAGGACCATGAGGTTTGTGATGCGTAAAGACATAACTCCTCAATTCATGCAAAATACTTTTGTACCTCCCGATACCAGCAACAAAGGCACTATCAGCATTGCGGTAAAAGCTATTTTGCGCATGCCGAATATGGAACAAGGTCAGTTCAGGTCTCCAAAAAGCCTTCAGTCACAGAACCATCAGGTCTGTGATGCATCAAGACATCACTCCAGGAAACACGCAGAAGCGCTTTGTAACACCCTGTACCATCTGGAACAAGGTCAGTTCAGGTCTCCAAAAAGCCTTCAGTCACAGAACCATCAGGTCTGTGATGCATCAAGACATCACTCCCCAAATCATGTAAAAGCGTTTGTTGCAACACCCTGTGCAACCACACAGAATCTGGACAAGGTCAGTTCAGGTCTCCAAAAAGCCTTCAGTCACAGAACCATCAGGTCTGTGATGCATCAAGACATCACTCCTCCAATCATGCAAACGCGTTTGTTGTAACGCCCTGTGCAACCACACAGAATCTGGACAAGGTCAGTTCAGGTCTCCAAAAAGCCTTCAGTCACAGAACCATCAGGTCTGTGATGCATCAAGACATCACTCCTGAAATCATGCAAAAGCGCTTTGTACCACTCTATAACAGCAACAAAGGCACTATCAGGCCATATTGCGCTAGAAACTATGTTGCACGCATGCCGAATCTGGAACAAGGTCAGTTCAGGTCTCCAAAAAGCCTTCAGTCACAGAACCATCAGGTCTGTGATGCATCAAGACATCACTCCTCAAATCATGCAAAAGCGTTTGTTGCAACGCCCTGCGCAACCACACAGAATCTGGACAAGGTCAGTTCAGGTCTCCACAAAGCGTTCAGTCACAGAACCATCGGGTCTGTGATGCATCAAGACATCACTTCTCAAATCATTCAAAAGCGCTTTGTACCTCCCTATTGCAACAACGAAGGCAATAACAGGCAATACACGGGCATTCCTCTCTTGAACGCAGACTGCATCCGGACCAGGTCAGTTCAGGTCTCCACAAAGCGTTCAGTCATAGAACCATCAGGTCTGTGATGCATCAAGACATCACTCCTCCAATCATGCAAACGCGTTTGTTGCAACGCCCTGTGCAACCACGCAGAATCTGGACGAGGTCAGTTCAGGTCTCCAAAAAGCCTTCAGTCACAGAACCATCAGGTCTGTGATGCATTAAGACATCACTCCTCAAATCATTCAAAAGCGCTTCGTACCACTCTATAACAGCAACAAGGGCACTATCAGGCCATATTGCGCTAGAAACTATGTTGCACGCATGCCGAATCTGGAACGAGGTCAGTTCAGGTCTCCAAAAAGCCTTCAGTCACAGAACCATCAGGTCTGTGATGCATCAAGACATCACTCCTCAAATCATGCAAAAGCGCTTTGTACCACTATATATCAGCAACAAAGGCACTATCAGGCCATATTGCGCTAGAAACTATGTTGCACGCATGCCGAATCTGGAACAAGGTCAGTTCAGGTCTCCAAAAAGCTTTCAGTCACAGAACCATCAGGTCTGTGATGCATCAAGACATCACTCCTCAAATCATGCAAAAGCGTTTGCTGTAACGACCTGTGCAACCTCACAGAATCTGGACAAGGTCAGTTCAGGTCTCCAAAAAGCCTTCAGTCACAGAACCATCAGGTCTGTGATGCATCAAGACATCACTCCTCAAATCATGCAAAAGCGTTTGTTGCAACGCCCTGCGCAACCACGCAGAATCTGGACAAGGTCAGTTCAGGTCTCCAAAAAGCCTTCAGTCACAGAACCATCAGGTCTGTGATGCATCAAGACATCACTCCTCAAATCATTCAAAAGCGCTTTGTACCTCCCTATTGCAACAACGATGGCAATAACAGGCAATACACGGGCATTCCTCTCTTGAACGCAGACTGCATCCGGACCAGGTCAGTTCATGTCTCCACAAAGCGTTCAGTCACAGAACCATCAGGTCTCTGATGCATCAAGACATCACTTCGCAACTGATGCAAAGCGCTTGCTGTACCTCCTTATAGCACATCAAGCTGTGATTTGTCCTGTAGCGTTTCAATGTACAGCGGATTTCTTGCTTCAAAATCCGCTCATCCCGCTTTCGCGTGCAAACGCGCACACCCACACACAGACACAGGCATAGACACATGCAACAACACACAGACACACAGACTCGCAGACATGCAAACGCGCACAAACACGCACGCACGCACACTCACTTACATGTGCAGTGCCTTGTACTTGTTGTACTTGTTGTACTTGTTGTACTTGTTGTACTTGTTGTACTTGTTGTACTTGTTGTACTTGTTGTACTTGTTGTACTTGTTGTACTTGTTGGACTTGTTGTACTTGTTGTACGTGTTGCACGACGCAAACCAGTTTTGCAGGGGGTGGGCTAGCTGGAAGGGTTCTACTTGGGTTCTGGTGCGAACAGTTGAGATCTGCATCCTCTTACACCTCAAAAGAAGCAAGGATACTAGGAACCAACAAGCGAATGACTCGAAGTACTCCATGCCCGGGTCCAATGGGCCACCGCGCCAGCTTTCGGCGTGGCTGCGGTGTTTGCGAGGAAGGAGGACCTCTGCAAAGGGTTGCTCCACTTTTGGCGGAAGTCTGGCCAGCGCAATTTAAGCATCCTCAGAGTTGCTGGATAGGAAGATCCTACCACTCAATTCCCAGTATGTGGGGATAGAGACAATGGCTGATCTCTTCCACGCCAGCATCCAGCCTCCCATCCCTTGAAACCCTTGGCTCTGGGGCATCGGCGCCATGGAAGGATTGCCTCTCCGGCCCCAATACCTCCAAACCAGCGAGCCTTCAAGCTACACATGGTCGCAAAAGTAGCAACGAGTGGAGGGCGGCAAGGTGTTTATGGCATGTTTTTGGGCTTGAACTGTCAGGAATAACTGCTGCGTCCCCCAGCCGGCTTACAGGCTGTGGCACCGGTTGAAGTCTCATCAATGGAACACTAGCAACCACGTTGCAACCGGCAACTCACGGGCAGGAGGCCCAAACAAACTCTCCCTTATCCTATGGCGCACAATTGAAACTTCTTCATGCCCTCCTCCACCTGTGCCAGAGGCAGGACTCCGTGTGGAGGCATGTGTGCCCCAAACAAAAAACCATATATATAAACATGGCAGCCGGCTGTCTCGCCGCCGCGAAACTCTTGCAATTCTGAAAGTCACGTGTCTTGCAATTCCCATGGGATTGCGTGTTTCTTCTTGTTTCATGATGCCTGGGGTGGGTGTTTTGGAAAAGTTGTTTGTGTTGCGTTCTGGCTTGTAAGCAAACTGTCTCCCTGTCATGTTAAAACCTGCACAGGCGCGCGTGTTTTAGCCTTTGCAGCTTTCTGCATTCGTCGACAATGTCTTAGTCTTTGGCGACTTTTTTCCCGAACGTACTTACAGCATCATTGCCGAGATAGCGATAGGGCTCCAGACTTGCAGCTCCGCAGCTTGACTGCGTACTGGCAAAGGAGTGGCCACAGCTGCGCGAGGAGGCCTCAAGGTCTGCGGAGTGGAGGGAGCAGCCATGGGCGCATCGAGAGTTGGTGGAGCTGCCGAGACTGCAGAGCGCACTCGCAGAAAAAGTGTGTACTGAGCGGCCAAAAGGAAAACAACCTGCAGGAGCGAGATGCAAGTTGATGGGCCAGCGCACGAAGCTACAGCAAGTATAAGAGCGGACTCTGCTAGGGCAGAGAAGAAAAGGGGGAAGCGCTCTTCAATCAAAGCAATGCCTTGAACAAACTGAACCAAAGGGTCAGCAGGGGAGAGGCAAGCTATGCGATGAAGATCCTACAGATACGCCGCCGAAACAGAGAAAAAACCTGCTAGCCGCAGATCAACGTTAGGAACGAACGCAAGCCACCGAGCCGGAGAAGCAAAGGAAGGAAAGCATCCTGCGGTGCTTAACGTTGCGCGAGCGACAACACACTTGCCGTGCTTAAATGCTCTAACACCATCATGCGGGTTAAACCGGTTCGAAACCAAATTGCGTCGAAAGTGAGCGCGCGCACACAACATGGGCCGAAAGCTGCGAGAATTCGAGGCAGCGTCAAGCGAACGTTATTAGCACCCCCCCCCCACCCCCCCCCCTCCCCCCCGAAATGACTCGAAAGACGCAAAGTGATGACAGTTCCACGGCGGCGAACCAGCCGCTCTCCATAAACATATACATATATATATATGGTACCCCCCCCCAACGGATCTACCGAGAATTCACTGGTATGTGCAGTGTGTTCTGCCTTTTTGGGGCTTTGGGGAAAGCGGCAAAAAGAGGCGCATGTCCAAAGACAGTCTGAAAGCTTAGGCCAAACTGTTCAAGGGAATCTTGAATCCAGTCGGTTTGGATATGCCTCTGTCCTATTTCTAAGCTGAGGTTTGGTCAGAAGATGCAAAACAACAGCTATGTTGGAGCCATTGGCCCAAAAGTGAAAACGCAAAGAGATACATTCTGGAGCCAATGACCCACAAGTAAAGAAGCAAAAGAGTAAAATTATGGAGCCAATGAATCATTTTTTTTTAAAAAAAAAAGAGGAAAAGTAATAAGGTCGTTGAAAAAAGAATGAAGAAAAATTGCAAAGGTTGAAAAAAGTAAACAGTTAAAAAAGTAACCAAGTACAATATTTCAGTCCATGGTCAGTGCATTGTACTTCAGGACCGTGGGCTGATTTGTTTTACTTGTTTACTTCTTTACTTGTTTACCTTTTACTTTTGTTTATACTTTTTTACTGTTCCACGGTTGGGTCTATGGCTCCAGAAATTGACCTTGCTTTTCTTTACTTTTGGGCCATTGGCTCCAACACAGCTGCTGTGTTTGCATCTTCTGAGGGTTAGGGTGCAGGGTTTGGAGTTGATTGACTCAGGTTTATAGGAATCGGACTTCTTTCTCGTAGATGTTTGCTCAATGATTTTCATTGGAAACATGTTTGTTGTTCAAAAGGATGTCCATTTGGAATAACATTGTTAATTGGGATTATTGCTTCAAGATATATTTCAAAGAGAACATCCTTTCCCGGGATATTGTTTCCCCACCTTCAATTTAGAATTAACTGGAATCTCATAAGGACATAAGTCCAGTAGACCTACTATTTTTAAACCTAATTTACATAGGAGTTCCCTTTCAATGAAAAACACCTAATTGGAATTGTTATTCCACTGAAGAGGATGTCCTTGCTTAGGTTGAGCTGCTGCTGGTCAAGTCGCATGGGGCATTCCAAATAAAACAACTACATTCCATCTCCAAAATAGCCTTCAAACAGCAAAAAAGGTAGATCCATCGGGTGGGTGCATATGTATATATATATATATGTATAGTGTAGATGTGTATGTGCGCGTGGAATTGAGCACGGTGCTTGACACGTCCAGAGCTACCAAACCCAGCAACTAATGGTGATGGAACAACATAGTAATTTGCATAGTCGTGATTTAGTGTCCGAAAGAATCGACATTTCACAGGGGGTGCTGTGACCAGAGTTTCCGAAGCATCAGAGATGCATGCGTGGCAATAAGGGTGAAAAGTGCAGTGGGTGCCCCTCTTGAATGTACAGCATGCCTCTCTTTCATGCATGGCATGTCTCCGGTAAAACATGCTACATCACCATGTCAATGACAATGTTTCCGTTCTTGGAGCACTACGCGCATGCTGCCTGCCCGAAGCACATCCTCGCAAAAGCATGTGGACGACAAAGGGTGCTCATTCCACTCCCCCCACCCTCCCCCCCCCTCCCCCCCACAAAAGTCTGATGTTTGTGGGGCCGCGTACCTAGACTTGCTTGCAACGAACTTGGACACGGAGAATGCTGTCCATCTGGAAAAGAATCCGCCACACGTCAACTTCCTGGCGCTCCAGAGCCTTCAACTCCAGCTCTTGCATCCGGCTCTCCTCCTCTGGGCTCCGGCACTTGCACTGCTTGCACCACAAACTGTCCGCACGGGTTGCCTGAAGCCCAAGGTTCAAGGGCCATCCCTCAATACGTTTTGGACCATGGGTCTGATCCGAGTATCCAATGTTGAGCCAATCGCGTTGCCAAAAGGCCATCCATGGATCGCGGGACCCTCCGGCCTCTGGGTCAAGACCTGGGATGGCCAAACACCGCAAGGCTGTGAGTGGATCGTTAGGGGAATGATGTACCTTACCAATCCCTGGAAACAGCTTGCGCTACAGCTGGTTACTTGTGCTACAGTAATAGCCAAGGACTGTCTGATCAGTCTCTTTCGAAATCTATGCGTGGAGATCAGCCCAAGTTGGGATTCGGCTCACACGCACCCGGCTGCTTGGCTGCTTGACTTGAAGTGCTCCAAGTCGCATTCCACTACAGTCGATCGACAACTCCCGGGTCTCGGATGATCTTGCCTCGGGACAGGTGTCTTCCCTATCTCCCCACAATGCTTGCCACCGACAGCAATGCCTTGCGCTGAATGTAAACAAGTTTGCTCCAATGTGTATGTCTATGTATAGATTAAAGCATAGTTGCACGACACATTGCTCGGCAATGCCAACACAGCTAAGCACCCCTGCAGCAAGAGAGCAGATGCACCCTCTAGGAGGAACTGGCCTGTACCCGGCAGAGAGACACCGGTGTGTGTTTGCGCTGTTGCCTGAAAACTAGAGGCAACCATCTTGCCGGTGTCACCGCTAACTTTGTTCCAGTGGATATCCAGACTTGAGGCCTCCAGCCAAGCTTAACGCGCAACAGTGTGGCACAATATGCCGTTTCGCAAAAAGGAGGCTCACCTGAATGCACTTGCTGGCTGCATGAAAGCGGGCTCCAAGGCTTCACAATGTGCACATGCGAGTATCCAGCCCCAAGCTCTGCCTTGACCATTTGACGAGCCACGAACACATGCTGAACGGACATGAGAAAATAACATACTCCCCTTGCGCCCCGCAAGAAAGCACACACACACACACGCACTAATGGTGAATGTGGAGAGTTGCTCGGGTGAGGTGAATAAAACCAACCTTGTTTTGTTGTTCACATGATCGAGCGAGACATTGGCTGATTTGTTTGGGTAGGGATTCACAGGCGTGTTTGCACGCCTCTTATTTTGAGGGTACTCTTTTTTATGGTTTCTAAAGAAAACCAAAAGGAAAACACTACAGGGTCCCCTTCTCTCTTGCTCTCTCTCTCTCTTCAGTCACGGAGGAGCGAGAGAAACCTTGCAACTGGTCTCGCAACGAAGCAACGGTCTGTCAGTGCTGTCAAGTGTTCTTTGCAAACGCGAGTTGTCTGCCGGTTAAAATTGGATGGTGCTGTGCTTGATCAAGATTCTCTGCACGGCAGCACCCGTACAAGACACTACCAACAGGGCAAACACACAGTGATCCTAAGCATCGCTAGTAGACCCCCTCCTCAAATCCTGTAAGCTGATTGGATGAAGCTATCTGCATGCTCTTTGATCATGTTCTAGCAAGGCTCGGCAAAGCCGGCATGGGCCCACCATGGACAATCATCGTGGCTCCCATGCATGCTCAGCCCCATCGTGAGGTTGCCAAAAACCAGAGCGACCTCTGGAAGATCAAATCTGGCGAGCAGTGACTCAAACTAAAAGCAACTGACTCTGCCAATCGGTGTTCTTCAGGTTGATGCCTTAAATGAGAGAATGAAGAATGAGGAGCACCGAAATGTGACTCAGCGTCCCACTCTTTGCCAATAGCTCGTCTGACTTTGCATCCAGCGCTTCGACTGGCCGATACAAAGAATTCAGGTCAGCAATTGCCAAACCGCTTACATCGGATACATGGCATGGTTTAGGTGCGTGCAAGGGAGTGACATGGACTAAATCCCCGTTCGCCGTGAACAGCCAGGCTGATGGCCAGGAAACATTGCAATCCATAGACACACCTCAAAACAACTGCGAGAGCTGTTCGCTGCAAGTGTTTGGACTTCAGCATTGTCTCAACACAACGTGACAGGCTGAGTGGATCCCCAAACAGCCTTGCATCATACCTCCGTAGCATGACACATTGGCTGCCCTTGGGCAAGTTCTGCCTTCTCTGCGCCCTGCTGTTGGAGTCACGGCACTTGCCCTGGGAGGGGCGGCAGCTTTCACGGTCGTGCTACCGCGTCGTGTTGGTTTAGGATGGGTTTAGAGTTGTTCGCCCCGCCCCCTTCTGTGTGTGTGGCTGGAAGTTACAAACCCTCAAATTCTTAAGAATTAGGAACCCTCAAATTCTTGCAAACGTGGAAATTGAACTTAGGACATTGAGAGTATTCCCGACATGACACTCGAGTACAATATTGTGCCAATGCTCAACCTTGCTGGCCGTGCGCAGCAACCTTTTTCCTCGTTCAGCTCTCAGCCATTCTGCAAACTAGTTTATTCCCCACATGACAAATGGTGTGCTGAGAGCGGCAAAAACCACAGATTCCGTCAGCATGTTTGCAGCCGAATGGCAAAGCAAGGGATGCATCGCTGGTGGACTTCCCAAAGTTGCCGGACTTGTAGCCGTGGAGCATCAGACGTGCCTGCCAAGCCGAGTGGCGTCGACGCGTCCAAGATCGTGCTGCGTTTCTTGGCGTATCAACATGTTTTGCCAGAGCCCTACCAAAACCTAAGACCTACTCCAAGATTCAAAGCCAGCACGCCCTTTCTAAGCTGCGCCCAAAGAGAGCGAGCGGCGCCTCGGTGCCGGGCGACGTGAGGCCTGCGAGCACCCGCGCCTGTCGAGGGAGCAGCTCAAGTGTATCCATGTGGTGCACAGCTGTCCTTCTCGAGTTTTAACCACAATTGAATCAAGCAGTGCGAAGTAGGAAGTACGTAGACCGTAATCGAGCTTTTAAACTAGTCAACACCTGGAGCACCTCTCGTACGGCCTCTACAGTACAGAGCAGTTTAGGCCTCCTTGGCCCACCTCATAAAGTATCTCTCCATTGAATTTGACATGCTTGCCCCGCACCTCCGCAATCGGGCTGCCAGAATTGCCAGACTTTGTGGCCAGCATCATGCGAATCTGCACACGCTTGCTTCCGATGTGTCCAAGGGAAGTTCCAAGAAAAACAGAAGCCCGCAACGCTTTGGAAAGAAACCATGATTGGGGGCTGAAGCTTAATATGAAGATGCACTGCGCTGCCCAAGTGCAAATACAACTCCTTCATATTACAGGCTGGTCAAGCAATGCTCCAGCACGCGATCCCAGCGTAGGACAGCAAATCTGATAGCACAATTCCACACTCTTCCAACTTCAAATGAAAAAACAAGAGATTGCCAGCTGCCTCGTGCTCTTCGAATTCCTGCCATGGATTTGAGAACCTCAGTGCTCACTTGGTGCGGCTGCCTCTGCTTGCATCGACATCTGACTACGCCTCCGAGCACCTGAACAAATAGCAAGCGATATTGAAAGCTGCGCCAGGCGCTCAGATTCGATTAGATCGCAAGCACAGTGGTGCACAGCATTCACCTGGGCTCGCTGCGGCTCGCTATCAAGCCGCTGCATCAACGCGCGGCTATTGCGGCTGCTGCACATCTCCTTGCACCGACCAGAATCAACCGACAATAATTTTTGCAGACTGCTCTTGCTGAGCCCTTGTTGATGCTTAGGTGCTCGTAAGATACTATTTCATGGCCAGTAGACGGTTGCTTTGCAATTGCCAGAGTCTGTGAAATCTGAAAGGCTTTCGCATCTCTGGATCGTGTGAGCGCCAAACAAAACGTATACTTTCTGCCCGCAAAAGACATGGGAAAATTGGGTGGTCCGCTTCGCCTTGGTCTCAAGCTACTACCCATCATATGTATGAGACCAATTAGCAGCCATGTTAAAGCGCCTCGTAGATGTCTCGCATTGACTGAAGCCTGCCATCGCTGTCAAGGGGTGAGCTGGAGCAGCTGAAGCAGCTGGGGCAGCTGGAGCAGCTACATTCAGTCCCTTTCAAAGGTCCAACTGCACTTGGGCAGGCAGGCGAGCACTGGAGATTTTTTTCTCCGCCCAGCAAGGGCCCTCAATACATGATACAAAGGATGGGAGGCACTAAAGGACTGCAGTCTACCGAGGCAAAACTGGCCTGCTGAGGAACTTGCTAAAGGTCCAAACAAACTTCAGCGTACCTGGCCGCGTGGCGAACGGCACGCCCCATGTGTGGCCCGAAGAAGACACTTCCAGTGAGTACATGTCAACTTGTAATGCCTCACTTGTCAAGAATGGACCCTTTTCCAAGCCGAGGACTCTGTCCCATCGGAACCTGAGGCAGTCAGCGGATTAGGCTTGTCCCTGGTGCCTCGACGCGTCGGCTGCCAAAGGCCTGCCGGCGCATCGCCATCGCCGGCCTGCCGCACTGAGCGCACTAATAGTTGGTGGCTTGCAATACGGTAAAAGGGCTGAAGGTAGTCTGAAACTGCTGGCTGCCTGCTCGCTGCAAGCGAAATTCCTGCCTCTGCTGAAACAGATGAGCGCCTAGCACGGAGATGTCGCTTGACCGCATGACCGTCCAGTATGCCCCCGATTAAGGATTTTGGACACTGATTCTCAGATGAAGGGAGGTCGGTGCATGCCACCAGAAATTATCGAACAGGGAGGGAGGGGAGGGGGGGAGGGGAGGGGGGAGGGGGAGGGGAGGGGAAAAATAGTAAAAGGAGAATTCTAGGAATTCTACTTTTACTATTTTTTCTCCATCAGCAACACAACAAACAGAAAACAAAATCCAGAACAACAAGCAAACAAAATAAATAATCACAACCAGCAACAAAAATATTTAATCACAGCATACAACATTAAATAATTCAAACAAGCATACCAACAAAACAGCAAAAATAAAAACCATTAAAGAACACAAACTCAAACACACACATCAACAAAAAACAAAGCAACATACCAACAAAAAATATCAGAAGAGTATCAAACAAAATAAAAACAAACAGCCAAAGCACGAAAAAATCAAAAGAGCATACCAAGTTCAAACAACGCACTTTGAAAGAGACAAGCAAATTAGGAAAAATAAAATATTTCAATCTTTACAAACCATAAGTACAGTATAATTATAACATATAATATTTTACATGTTATTATTATAGTATGATTATAATTTCAGTACAGGATAATAATTTAATTGATTTGTCTTACTTCTTTCATACATCATTTTAAAAATAATATTAATATCTCTCAATGTATTTTGAATATTAAACTTTTTACTTTCAATAAATAATTTGATATTTTATTTAACATCTTCTCCTTTCTCTTGACTATATCCCAACATCCATAATATATCATAAATCATGTCATATTTTTCTTACTGATTTTAAGAAACTGTTTAACATAATCATAAGGTGGTATTTTATTTACAGTTAGAAATATTAAAATCTCATCTTCTACATTTCTATTATGTCTTCCTTTTATTCTCAACAAACATTTGATTAAAAATTGATTATCTCTCCATTCCTGACAATTTTCACATTCGTCTTTTTCATCCATTGAATAATTAATAATATTATTCACTGTTTCATTAGGTAAATTCAATTTATACACTTCCATATTTTCTTTTTTGAAGTGACAACAATCATAGCATTTTTTATTGATATAACTATTGATTTTATCACCGTTCATTTTCCTCTTATTAAATTAAGGCACTATTTCTTTAAGTCATTTTAAGGCATTAAGAAAAATTAAGAAACAAACCATAAGTATAGTATAATTATAACATATAAGATTTTACATGTTATTTTTGTAGTATGAGTTCAACTTATTAACGCAGTTACATAATGCTTCTTAATTATTTTCATTATTTTATCATCCGTCTTATCATTGTAAAAATATTATTTCCTATTGATTTTTTAAACCATCCCATTGTTCTAATTGCTATCACCATCATCCAATCCCACGATTCCCATCGTCCAATCCCACGATTCCCATCGTCCAATCCCACGATTCCCATCACCCAATCCCACGTTTCCCATCACCCAATCCCACGATGTCCATCGTCTAACCCCTTAATTTACAATAATGAAATAACATTGAAACCCATTGCTTTTGCAACAAGTCCAACACTGCCTGTCCCGCTAAACATCTCTAATAAGTTCATTATTAAAGAAATTTAGATAATATTATCTATGAATAAATCCCTGATTCCTCGTTAAAAACTATGTTTAGTTTTCAATGAGTAAATGCATCTTTATGAATAAAGTTGCGTTTCCTCGTCATAGTCAATTTGATAAAATGTCATAGTGGAAGACTTCGGTTCTTTAATTTCTTTGTTATTAAGTTTGTTTAAATACACTTGTTTCTTATTTTTATATTCACCATTGGTTCTATCTACTTCTTTACTTTGATAACTGTTTGTTACTGGTTTCTTCTTTTCCATTTCTTGCAAGATTTCTAAAATATTCTTATTCTGTTCTAAAACCTTATTCAGTTTTTTAACAATATTTTCTAATCCTTCATCCATGTAAATATATACTAAATTATAAAACTAAACTTTTAAAACTAAATGTTTTAATTTCGAAGGTCTTTGTTACTTATATGTTTAAATTCTTTGCCTTGCACCATAAGTCTAACAATGTTATCTAAATCTTTTTGAGTATGTCTACATACTATCGCTTTGTCTAGATATAAATATTCATAGCTAAGACCAACACTAATTAATAAAAAGTTATATTTTCTAGTTTGAGTACGAGTTAAGACTATTTTACAACCACACTCACAAGTATAATAACTAACACCATTATAATTATTGTCTCCAATTTGTTTATCTAATTCAATTGCTCCATTATGTAAATTTGTTAAACTTGAAAATTCAACCATATACTAAATCATAAAATAAACTTTTAAAACTAAATGTTGCAATTATGCTAAATCTACTCTTTAAATACTAATTTTTCATCATTTGTTTTATAGTTTCCTGAGTTTCCTTATCACCATTATCGGATGGTGATGCATGCCTTCCCCATTTGATAGCAATATTATGAACATCTGTTTCTAAGTTTATACTGTCTTTAGTTTTATCAATATTCATTTTCTTATCATTCTTACTTATTTTGAAACTTGTCGGAATACACGAACATTTACAGTTTCCTTTCTTTTGTATTTCTAATTCATTTTTCATTTCTAACATCTTTTTGCACATTGGACAAGCAAACTCAATAACTGATGTTTCTTTAACAATTTCTTCTCTTTCTTCTTCAGTTGAAGAAACACTTAAACCTGTCTTATTCTTTTTGTTTTTCTTTTTTGGCATTTATATTAATATTTACATTTTTATTTTTGGTATATTGTATTCCTAGCTTAATTAATTCTAATGAATAATAACAACATTTCTTAATTTTATTATCGGTTATTAGTACTTGTTCTATATTCTCCACTTCATCTATTATATTAATATAATCTGTATAACTCCTTTTCATATTAAATAATAAGATAAATTATTTGTTCATTTCTGTCTTTCTTTTCTTGTAAAGTTTTTCATTGTATCGTCTTTATTCCATCTATATTCCACAAATTTCTGATGATGTTTTGAGTTTAGATGTTTAAATAAATATTTGTCATCATAAGTTTTACCACAACTGCAATGGATAATAGCCATATAAATAATAAGATAAAATAGTTATTTAATCTTATTATTTTCATGCATGATAGAATATTCGGAGGGCTCAGCACTGGGGTGTTCACTGCAACACGCAAGCAAGACACAACCTAATTAGCTTCAATGCTTATTGATTGAAGTTGATGAAAGAGCCTGTTCTACTACGATAGACACCATTCATATCATAGCAATGCTTTCATACAATAAATAATATTAAATTATTTTCTAAATGTCTTTAATATTACTTTTATTATGCCTGATGTAAAACCAATTGATGAAATCAAATATGACTTTAAGCAAAGTAAGCACCAGGCCGTCCCTAAATTGCCAATGAGAGCTATGATTGTAGGTCCGTCTGGTTCTGGAAAATCAACTTTACTTGTATCAATGATACTTGATATTTATAGAGGAGCATTTGAAAGAGTTTTTATCTGGTCCCCATCTGTAAATTTGGATAGTATTTGGTCGCCAGTGAAGAAATACATTAAGGAAGGTTTGAAAGTAGATACTGATAAAGAACCGTGTTGGTGGGATGAGTTCAATGTTGAAGATTTAGAAAGAGTTATAGAAACTCAAAATAAAATAATTGAATACCAGAAAAAACAAGGAATGAAGAAGTTATTTAATATATTAGTTATATTGGATGATGTATCTGATAATCCAGCAATAACAAGAAATAACAAACTGTTAAATTCTTTATTCTGTAGGGGACGTCATAGTGGAATATCAACGCTTGTCAGTCTTCAGAAATCATCAAGTGTCCCACCAATTATTAGGGTAAATATAAGTCATTTGTTTTATTATAAAGTTAGAAATTTTAAAGAGATAGAAATATTGCAAGATGAATTATCGGCAATTGTTAGAAGCGATAATTTACACGAAAGCAAGAAACTAATTTATAAAATATATGAGACCGCCACTGATGAACCACATAGTTTTTTATATATTAACCTTTTAGAAAAGATCCCAGATAAAATGTTTATGAAAAAGTTTTCTCAATATTTGAAAATTACTAATTAAATAAATAAATATATTAATATTATATGATATTTTATGATTTACAATTAGATATTAAAACCTTGTATTATCTTATAATTTAGGTGATGTTAGATTATTAAAAATACAAAATAATAATATTATTAGAAATTATATTAATAAATTTAAGCCAGTATACAAGTCTTACAAATTAAATAACATGCATTATGTTGAAATTGATAATATCAATATGAAAAATATTATCAAAAACGGCATATCATATATTTTTAACTTAAGTGAGTTAGATAAATTACATCAAAAACATAAACCATTAAAATTATTAATTGAATATGATATATTTGTTACATCTACCTCATTTACTTGTTTGAACCACGTTCGTAATCGTACTTTAACATCAAATAATTTATTTGATATTATTTCCTTAATAAAGACCTTTATGAAACTAATTTAGTGTATAGCCGTAATACGGATAATTTTATTTCATTACAAGTGAAAAAAATAACTATTAAAGTCATCAATTATGAAAGACAAAGTTTTATTAGTAAATTTTATTCATATTTTTTTAATTAATAATGTTAATGAATCATATTAATATTATTAATTTAAATCAATGAAGCGTTGCATAAATTCAACGCAGGTAATTTATATAATAGTTTGTCCGATTTTTGATTTTCTAACTTTTCTATTCTCGTTACACATTCTTGAATAGATTTTATTATTAAAGTATCCGCTCTCGTTTTTTCATCTACTCTTAAATTCTTAATGTCTTCCATACTGTTATTTTCTTCGTTTTTGCTTTGACCAATACCCATTATATATTATTATTTAGATTTTTCTTTTTTCAATTCCTTAATTTCTTTTTCAAGTTTATCTATTTTATCATTTAAT